CACGATGCTCCACTGCCTTGTGGATCAGACCTTTAGGTCAAAGGCTCGGGGTGTGGCCCCCTAAGAAAACCACCTGCTTCGGTTTGGGCACCCGGGCAGTATCACAGCCCGCGCACAAATGACATGAAATGACTCACTGCACTAACTACACTGCTCTCATTCCTAATAGAAGAAAGACAATTTACATTATTATTATGATTATTATTACCATTATTATTATTATTATTATTATTATTATTATTATTATTATTATTATTACTATTATTTACTACGTCGCATTTTCACTCCCGTTATTCCCAAATTGTGTATCCTTCCTTTCCAACTTGTGCATTAGCTCGCTCATGGTGGAAACTCTGTCCTATCTAAACGATCTCCAGTCACTGTCTGGTTGAAAGTGAATGCTTCCACCGATTACGAATACTGAAACAGTCTTTCTGAAACCACATACGCCGTTCAAGCTGGCTTCCTTCAACGTTCGCACACTAATGCAGGTCGGACGACAGATGGGGCCGGCTATGTCTTTAGAAAGTCTTAATGTTGATGTTTACTGTCTATCCGAGTCCCGTATTCAAGACTCTAGTGAAGTACTACAAATTCGCTCTCCATCTGTCGCTTCGAAAAGCTTGTTTCACGTGCGCTTATCCGGGGACCCTGTGGCATTTCGTCTGGTCTTGCTAGCGTTGGTGTCGCACTAAGCGCTATGGCTGAGGCAGCACTAATCGATTGGATCCCCATTAACAGTCAGTTATGTGCTGTTAGATTAGAAAGTTCCATCAAAGTGAGAAGAAACCGGCGTGAGAAACGATGTCTTTTCGTCATCTCCGCCTATGCCCCGACAGATTGCAGTCCGGATGCAATCAAGGATGAGTTTTACCATCAGTTAACAGTTCTTCTCCAGAAAGCGCGTTCGACAGATATTGTAGTACTAGCCGGAGACTTGAATGCACAGGTCGGGCGTCTAGGCACAGAAGAGAGCCGTTTAGGTGGCCGATGGGGCCTTGTTGGTCGCAGGACAGATAACGGGGACCGTTTGCTGCAACTGTGCACAGACCACAACCGGTTTCTGGCTAGCACTAACTTCCGGCACAGTCATCGCCGGTGTGACACCTGGCGTCCTCTCTCTGCATCCCAAGCCTGGACTCAGATTGATCACATCGCGATCAGCTACCGCTGGCGTGGTTGTGTACAAGACTGCCGCTCCTTTTGGAGTACCTATCTGGAGTCTGATCATGCCCTGGTCTGCGCCAATCTCACCTTACTTTTCAGTGGCCAAAGGACTGACCACCACCAACGGATTGATGTTAGTAAACTGGCTGCAACTTCTGTTGCAAGTAAGTATCGAGCGGAGCTAGCCTCTAGGCTAGCTACCACCCCACCGAAAAGTGTAGATGAGCATTGGTTGCTTCTTCACGACGCCATGAAAATGGCGAGTAAAGCCGCCTGCGGCTTCACGAAACGTCCCGCTTACAAGCACTGGGTTTCTTCTGGCTCCTTACAACTGCCCGAAGCCCGTCGGTCTACTCCGGGTGACCGTGAGTTTGACCACAAACGAAGGCTGTTACGTAATGAAATCGGGCAAAGCTTGCGTAAGGACCGAGAAGCCTGGTGGTCGGAGCGTGCTAATGAGATGGAGGCAGCAGCTGCATCTGGTAACTGCCGGAAGCTCTTCCAACTCATCCGAGCCACTGGCAGCAAGAAGTCTGGTGTGAGTGAAACAATCTACGAGGATGACGGGATGCCAATCACTAACACCTCTCGACGTCTTGGAAGATGGGCGGAATTTTTCGAAGGGCAGTTCAACTGGCCTGCTGCTCCGGCAACATCAACCAGTTTGTCCTGCCCCCCATGGCCGGCGACGACTGATCCACCAAACGAGGCAGAAGTCCGCAAGGAACTCCAACTCTTGAAACGTTACAAATCACCTGGCCCAGATGACTTACCTCCGGCTCTTTTTAAAGATGGTGGTGACTTTCTGACTAAGGAATTGACTGTGTTGTTTGGAAAGGTTTGGGAGCAAGAAAGTGTTCCAACATCATGGAATGAGTCAATAGTCGTCCCTATCTTTAAAAAGTGTTCAGGTTGTTCCTGCAATAACTATCGGGGGATAAGTCTACTTTCGATCGCGTCCAAACTATTGGCTTCTATCATTCTTCGTAGGTTGTTTAAAACCCGAGAACGATTGACTCGCGAGGAGCAGGCTGGTTTTTGTTCTGGTCGAGGATGTATTGATCACATCTTCACCCTCCGCCAAATGTTAGAACACCGTCATACTTATTGCAGGCCAATAATCGTAGTGTTTCTTGATATCAGGGCGGCCTTCGATTCGTTGGACAGGACTGTTCTCTGGGATTGTCTATTGAAGAATGGTGTGCCTGAGAAGTTCATTAACATCTTAAAGGCCCTGTATACGAACACCTCAGGCAGAGTGAGGGCATACAACCTCCTTTCTTCCTTGTTCCATTCGAGCAGTGGGGTTAGGCAGGGTTGCCCGATCTCACCATTCCTCTTCAACTTTGCCATCGACGACATCCTGGAAACAGCTCTGATGGATGTAAGTAATGGCGGTGTGGATATGTTGCCTGGAGAACGACTTCTCGACCTTGAGTATGCGGATGATATTGTCTTACTGTGCGATAATGCCCAAGGCATGCAATCCGCACTTAGTCAGTTGGTAATCAGTGTCCGCAGGTACGGCATGTGCTTTGCACCCTCCAAGTGCAAAGTACTCCTACAAGACAGGCAGGATTCTCATCCTGTACTCACTTTGGATGGTGAGCAGATTGAAGTAGTTGAAAAGTTCGTGTATCTAGGTAGCTATATAAGTGCTGATGGTGGCGTGAGTGATGAGATTGATGCACGTATAATGAAAGCCAGAGCGCCTTATGCCAATCTGGGCCATCTTTGGCGCCTTCGTGATGTTAGTCTGGCTGTAAAAGATCGGATCTACAACGCGTCGGTGAGAGCAGTTTTGCTCTATGCTTGTGAAACCTGGCCTCTCCGAGTTGAGGATGTTAGACGTCTCTCTGTGTTCGATCATCGTTGTCTCCGAAGGATTGCTGACATCCAGTGGCAACACCATGTTAGTAATGCAGAGGTTCGGCATCGTGTGTTCGGGCGCAGAGACGATAATTCAATTGGTGTCACCATCTTGAAACACCGACTTCGGTGGCTTGGACATGTTTTACGAATGTCGTCCCAGAGACTTCCACTTCGTGCATTATTTGCCAACCCTGGGACTGGTTGGAAAAAGTGGAGAGGAGATCAGTGTATGACATGGTGTCGTGGCATGAAAGAGAGCTGCAAAGGGCTAGCTTCTGTTAGTCCTTCACGACTCCCTGGTTGGGGTCCGAGAGATGGTGCAACACAGTGGCTAGAGACGTTATCAGATATGGCTCAGAATAGAAGCCAGTGGCGATCTTGCTGCAACCTTCTTTTACTTTCTACATAAAGAATAGTTCTAACTTTCTTAACTGAAAGAGTCTTCTGGTTGTACATTTCAGTTCGCCTTATCTTTTCATCCCTTCTCTTGTTACTTTCATTATTTTGTGTGGCGCATATGTATCTGGTGCCCGTTTGTACCAATATATATGTGTTTAAATAAATAAATAATAAATAAACTATTACTCATTCAGAGAGTTTAGCTTTTTGACGGAGATGAGATAACTTCCTATAAAATTCATTTCTAACTTTTTCTGAGCTGTATTCAGTGGGAGTGTAATCAGAGACAACGATAAGCAAACGGGGTGACACTTTTTCTCGAGTCCTTACTGTTAGGTTTAATCGGACAGTGTAGAAGCGACTGTCTGTTGAAATAGAGTCTAACGATGACTCGAGATTCTGAAGTCTTAGTTAAAGAATCCTGTTGTTCTATCTGAAACGAGGTTCGAATATTAAAAGCCCTAACATGTAGTTAACAGAGTGATCTCGGGAGACCAGTAACAAAATTTCGTGAACTGAAATCATTAGTACTAGTGGTGCGTGGTGATAAAAATATATGAGAAGTGTTCGTCGTGGGGATATGAGAATTATTAAGACGTGAGGGGGCGATCCAATCGTCAACAAGATGATCTTGGGTGCTAGATAGAGGTATGAGGGTGGCTGTCGTTTTTCGGCTGCCCACACCATGGAGGGATATTTCTTAAGAGACCTGAAAAAGAAGCTGAATTAGTGGTATTTTCAGAGACTTAGTAGCTTGACTGCAGAGCTCAAGAGACAACTACTAGAGGCCGGTCGCACAAGACCTTTACATGGGAAGTTTTCAGTGTTAGCTCCGCAGTTCAAAAGGCCTTACTGCCGGAGACGGAAACCTATGGGGTAAGGTGAAGTGTGAAATTTCTAGGGTCGATTTATGGCCCTTTCCCTCCATCGTGAGAAGCCAGCATCGCTGCAGATGCTGGTTGTCCAAGGGAAACGCCTCACTTTTGTCGTATCTCTCTACAGTCAGCGGTACGACTTTGCCTTCCGCGCTTAATTTGCTATTTTTAGCCTTACCGTTCTCCAACCGGCCTGTCTGGCATGTTGGGACCTCAAGGAACATATGCTTCATCCAATATAACTCGGTTGAGTCTTCACAATCGACAAACCTAGTCACCACATTAAAGTAACAACTACGTTCAGGGTTGTTTGTACATGTGGATCTTAGTTATTTATTCGCTAGTCACCTTATTGTTCTGTTCCTGTTATCATGTTTTTTATTGATTTGTTTGTTGACTAACATATGGCCTATAAAACTAAACAGCTTCATTCCAGACATCATCTCTTTGGAGTGATGTCGTAATAACAGTTAAAGCTCAAACTCAAATCTGTCAATGTTTCGATCATAGATTAAGCCCAGGGTTACTGTCATTACCTTGTGTGATGCTTAATTCAGAGATTTGAGGGTAAAATAAAAACGTACATACAAAGTAAGAACTAAGTACCTGTTTACAAATTATCTACATATATCGAATCCTACTTTATGAGGTATTTATGTAAACAATCTTTTTGCTCATCTTCGTTAGGTTTACATGAGCAGACCAGAAGCTGCGTTGTTGGCACGTTTGGAAACCCAAGGGTGGACGCTTCCTGAACATGTATTTACTAACATACCAAACAGTTCAGTAAATATTAATAGTGGTGGAATCAACTGTTATATTGGGAATTTCGAAGATAGTAATGATAAAAATGAAATTAATGATGAAGAGGAGTGCGGTTACTGTGATAATCCAGAATGCATTGTTGATTCTGATGAATACTTTGATGATGGTCGGACTGAAGATTGTAAAGAGAATACAGACTTCCAATCGACTTCACTCGCTAACAAGGGACTGTTAAATCAAGATGATGTAGAAGAAAATCCAGCTGAATTTATTGCATCACCTGTATCTCCTATTGTTAATAGTAGTCGCAATTTTAGAAGCCAGAGAGAACTATCTCCAGATAGGACTACTGAATTCAAAAATATAAGCAATACGTGTGGTGACAAGAATATAGATGTACCACTTTTTCAGAATGATGTTTGTAAACATGGTAAATATAAACGACGTAGTTTGGGTTGTTCAATGAAACATCTAGCTCCTCCAAAACCATGTCGATTATTCTTACTTTCTCCACCTGCTTCACCTCCTGTTGGGTGGGAACCAAAACCAGAATGTGAACCTGTTATCAATTATGAACTTTTACAAGCCTTAGCTTCATTAGCACCAGGTGGGTCTAATGTGTGCATTTACTCAAATCACTTGGTATATGAATATTTTGGTAAATAAGTTTTGGGCTGAATTTAATGAATAATGTATGTGAAAATGAAATACTTTGTAATTATTGTAGCGTGGTCATGGTAATTGTTAAATGTATAACCTAGAGTGCTCTTGATTATTTGTCTCATTAGTTATTTTATGAAGACATCAATATATTCCTAACTAAACTGTTGCGGCTTATCGAGGACTTTGCATTCTCTTGTTGAATTCATTTATGGTCGAAAATAGTCCTAGATATCTTATTTAGTTTCTAGCGTAGAACGAGAGTGGGAATAGGTAAAATAACTAAATAATTTTAGGTTGTAACATATAGATTTGCTGTGAAATTTACTTGTAAATAAATAGTTTTCCGATAGTCCTGAACAGATCAGCACGAGGTACCATATATTGGCTGGTTCGATTTCTTGAAAATAAAATTATAAAGGATGACTGATAATATTTGTGTATAAGTAAGTCTAAAAGTGTTAAACTGATTAGCTTTCAGTGGCTGTTTATGTGTGAGATTGTTTTTAATTCGAAAAGAATGTTGGTCACAACCATAAAATATGTTCATACAAATCTACATCAATCAAATGCTTTCATGAGATTGCAAGATACTTTACTAATAATAAACTTGGTAGAAATGTTTGGTTGATTGCTAATTATTCAACTTACTACAAGGAATGTGGAAAAAGTGTCATACTGGGCTATTGAAAAAGATCCTAAGAAGACACAGTTAAACTATAGGTATTCCTGTATTGATTTTTTTAGATTTTTGTTATTTCTGTCATTATTAATGATGTAACAAACACTTATGTATCTATAGGTGAGGCATTTGAATTGCATCCACGTGATCAAGCTAATCATCACCCAAGTATTGTGATAACACCATGTGAAACTGGTCTAACGTATGATAAAGATGTGAAAAAACTTCGAATAGTGCAAACTAAGTGTCCAGATCGTAAATGATAATGAAGACTGTTATGTGTATACGAATATTATATTTAAGTCCAACGTTATGATGGCCAAAAGAAAAATTACCTTTGGTGTCTTTCAGTTAACTATGTTCAAATGACTACGTGCACAATTATTTATAGTTGAATACCCATTATATATATATATATATATATATATATATATATATATATATATATATATATATATATATATGATTACTTTGTTTGATGTGTGGAGTTGACCGGTTGCTTCTACAGATCCTCAGTTCATTTTATTTTCGCGTTTGTCAAATGTATAACTCTGAGGTGTTTTATTATTTCTCCATACATAAAAACTTCAACGTGTAACGTTCCTACTGATTTCTTAACGTGATGGATCTTGACACTATACTGTTTTCCCTATATCATAGATGTCAATTTCATTTTCTTCTTTCCTGGATGAATGGTTTTTTTTAGGTATGTTGTATACTACTTCATTGACTTATGTCAGTTATTATGGTATTTAATCTTACTGCCATTTGTGACCAGTTTCTTGCAATTTTCGTATATTTACCTTTTTCAATAATATAGTTTCAATTTTTTATCCGATCTATGAATAATGTACACCGGCTAGTTGACTTTTCTCCAGTTGTTTTTTCTCCAACTGCCATTATTATTTGAAATATTCTTTTCATATACACTTGTTCTGTTTGCAGTTGGTGATATTGGCTGAAATGAAAACATGTTACCAAGTAGATTGGACTGACTGTCTGTCATTATTACCGTTATTATCAAAATTGCATTTCATTATTTTCGATATATAAATGACCTTATTATTTAGACCAGGAAACGTTTTAAGATTGTATGAAGCAACTTACGTTATACGCATACTTTTGTGTTTCTTGTTGCTTCTACTGTCACACTACAAAATGCAAAATCAAAAGTCGACATAAGGATAGATATATATCCCTACATCTTAAGAACCCTATACTGAGTGTTCTTGTGCGTTATTAGATGGTTTCGGCTAGATTACCCATGAAGTATCATAAATGTCACCCTGTCCTTTACTATCTCGTGGTCTAGAACTGAGGACATGGTAACTTGGACTGTCAAAAATAGTACTTTCCAATAGCCGATAAATAAAAACGATTAACATACCTTATTAGTTATCAATGGTGTTACATTAGAAATTATTGAAGCCCCACAAAATATTTCTACTTTCCATAGTTTATATGCTAAATGAGTATTTTAATATAACATGTACTGATAACCTTTGAAGATGAAGAAAACAACATTCCAAAGAAATCAAACTATCTGATACTATGGTTTGGAATAATCTTTTGATTGATGTAATGATTTCTGCGTTAAACACTTAGCATGATCGGTCCTTTGCCATTCAATATTTCCAATATATAGTGACTATGAGTAATTCTAAACATTTGTATATATGTGTACATTTTTACACTTTATTTGTTTTAATAAGTAATAGTAATAATAATCCAATACTCATTTATGCATTTATTATGAAAAAAACTATAGGATTATTATGTCGTTTTTCTTTAGAATGAAGTAAAAATAATTTCGTGCTCTGATTTTAAAGCACCATTCAGTGAAAATCCCATTCATTCGGATAAACTCATATGACCTTGTTACAAAAATGCTGTGATAGCTTTATTTTTATTTAAAGAAATACTGACGTGACTTAGTAAAAAACATTTTCTAAGGATCTCTTTTCTACCGAAAAAAGAAAGTTGCTTCCTATTAGAATATCAATCATGAAAGGACGGGAGTAGGAAACAAAGATCTCACGTATACGGATGGTCGATAAAAAATGACGTGTGTACAATATTCCAATGAATAGAACGATAAAACTTCTGACAATTCACAAACAATAGAAATTTGAAGAGATGAGGTTTGTTAAACAGTTGTCATTGTAAACTAAAGAAGTAATAAGACCGGTGAAGACACTTAATAACTGTTGGTGGCTATTTTGAGACATTGTATACTATCAAAACTAGATGGGATTGAGCCGTTTAGACCCGACGACATATAAGCTATCATTAAAATATATGGTTCATATCCATGGTGTCTTTCTTTTCTGACGGTGTGGTCGAACATTCAACTTCGCTGTCACCCTAATTGGCTCAAACTTTTCTTTTTTTAAACATCAGTACTATTTAATAAATACGTCAACCAAATTTATAAAAACCAGCTTATCGAATCGAAGATACAGCAATATTACTCTGTTCGAAATATCCCCTATTTGTGACAAGATGTTTGACACCCCTTTTCAATTTCTTAAACGCCTTTGGTGATTTTAGGAGTCATACTTTATCTGCCTGGTCGTATCATGTTTTTTTGTCTGTACGCAACCACTTTACGTTTTGAGACTGAAACAAGTTTCAGGTGAATAATCTTGGTAATCATGCTTGATGACTCATCATGATGAGTTACTCACCTAATGCTCACGAACAATCAATGGTAAAAATTCTGGCGTATTTTGTAGTTCAACGGCCACACGTCGTCTTAATACAAATTCCTTTGATTATTTGGATGGTGACATGTAACTCGACCAAGGCTTGTTCAAGATAATGTTCACTGAATGGTTATTTAGTCGTATCCTCGGTTGGCAAACTTAGTAGCCCAGTTTGCATATTGATTGGTTAGACCATGCACATTTATAATAGTCATTTTGATACGGTCTACTAAAGAACATGAAGTATTTATTTAAATTATTTGTTTTCTGTAGCTTACAATATGTTGAAATAATTTTCACTGCTAATTAATACTGAGTGGTGGAATATTGGAAATATGAAAATACTGAATATACAATATCGCAGCTTATAAACCATTATCCCCCATATATGCAAATGACTAATGATTTTTAGTGTATTTGGCTGAAAAGTTATAAGTAGTCAGGTTATGGTGGATAAGTAGCGATAGTCGGTAGGAATCTTTGTACCTCAAACTTTTGTTAGTTGGCGTTCGTTAAAAAAGTGTAGCTGAAATCTTGTGTTACTGTTAATCCTTGTAGTATATGTACCTACATCACTTAGCGTCATGGTCAACATTCCAGGTTTGTCTTGCTAACGAATGATATACAGTCTAGGTTCTAGGTTTCCTACCAACTACCCTGTAGGGTAGAAATAGTACAGGCAATGTCAAATCACTTAAACTAACAGCCATATTGCAAATCGATTGAATTCGTGTAATATTAAAGATGACACAAAATTGGTTACTGCTCAATGACCCATCATCGTATATAATGAGTTTGTTGAAACAATTCGATTCGGATGTACTTTACTGGAGTTCCACTTTTCTCGTGTTTGTATAACTTCACTCTATAAATATTTTAGTCTAGCCTTACTATACTAAATGTGGTCGGACAAAACATCTGAGAAATGGCGTCCTATTTATGTGACATTTAATTAGTTACTTGAATAGTTGGCTCTCCCTCAGCCATTCATAATAATAATATGTTGCAACATTGCCGACGATGTCTTCTGTATGCGTTGTGATGTTATACGGCCGTAATGGGTGATTTATTGGTATTGACTATATGTTGTGTCTGCAGATAGTCCCTGCTGCTCACGTATTAAACTTCCTAACTTTTATATAAAATGATTAGAAAGTTTTTTGTTTGACGATTTAGGCAAAAAAAACTACAATTCACTACAACTCGTAAAAATATTCCCTGTTTTTCATTAAATTGAGTGCTTATTCAGTGTTGAGAATCTCGGTAATGAATTTCTCATTGTTTTAGTGGGAAGCACATGACTCATAGAATCAATGGAGTTGAAAATCAGGCCGTAATCCATTGATAACACGAATTAAGGTCGCAAACTGAATCTAATTTATGTTCTGACAAAATAATAGTTTCAATATTTTGGTGTTTTTGGTCTAGAAGTTGTAGTTTCGAACCTGTGTTTGGTTCTTGTGCGCACATTGAGTAAGATGCTCAAAACAGTTGAAATATTTGTTTGCCACTCTGTATTTTGACGAAATTATACCAAAAAAGCATACTATTCTACTCAAAATCTGTTTATTTACTGTTTGAAAATAAGTTTAATAATTTCCAGGTTAATAGACTAGCAAAATAATTCATTTTATCGTATCCATTAATCAATTATATTTAAAGTTTAAAAATTAACATAAGCAAAAATATAATGCCAGACTAATGTAAATTGTAAGTGTCACTTCTCGATACAACTCATTGATGTGATTTGTTAGTGTAGTAAAGGATGTCGACAGGTATAAAAGACTGTTAGATGGTTTGTTGGAGGTGTTAATCAACAGGAAGCCATGGCATAAATCAGTAAGTATTATTTCCACTCTTGCTGGGGATTGTTTCCAATGAACTATTATTTAAAGAAAAACACTTTTAAGCCAACTAGTTTGGTGATATCAATGCAAATTCAACTGACAGAATCTTTGGTTACTTATAGCTGATTAGTTACTTTTCAAGTGTGTGGTTCAATGTGAATTTGTTTGGTGTTTAGATAGATCGTCATTATCATTAATAAAGATCATTATTCAGTGCTATTGGTAAAATCCGAGTGAAGAATGTACTTGGCAATGATATGATGGGATATGTTCAACATGACTTCCCTATATTTGATTTAATGTGATGATTACTGAGTGTAGTATTTGTTTGGATTTTCAGTGTGACATTTCATTCGGTATAACATTAATTGATTTGAGTGTGATGTTTTATTCAAGATACTATATCTTTGTATTTAATTAACATAAACTATGCTCAGTATGACATGTAACATGTGATTTGTTATAACTCTGGGTATTTTCCATATATGTAATTTGGTTCTAACTAATAATTAAAATAGGTGTACAATCAATATATAAATCAATGTATTATAGACAAGGGTCGTCGTCGTGTTTTTGAGTTAATAAATTTTCATTTGTACCAGTATTGGTATTCTTACTTCGCGTCGTGGGAATTATAATGGTTTTTCGTTTTACTGGTATCAGTAATAAGTGATTCCGATATAACAAATTGGTGACACAGCCATAATAATT